CACGGGGTGGGGCCGGTGTGTTGCCCAAAGAAAAAAGTGGGGGTGTTACTGGGAAAGCCACCGAGGGAAGGTGGGGGGGGGGGGGCTGGGAGGAATGTGCAGGGAGGCTGGGTGGGTGTGGGGGTATTAGAGTTTAAAGTGGAGAGAAAGAAGCAATTTAAATTCTTTTTAGAAGGGGATAAAGTTGGAGAAAAAAGGGAGAAAAGGGAAGGAAGGGAGGAGAAGGGCTAAATACATAATGTAAACTAGCATGTTTATGACAAATTACAGGTTTCAGAACTATGCATTCCTTCCAGTAAGTTCTTCACAAGATTCAAAACAGCCCATTTTATCTTCTGTAAGAGGTAGGTAGACTCTCTGTCCTACCCTGCCAGATAAGATTTGGTTGTTATGGGGATAGTAACTGGCATGTACTTACTATGTACCAGGCACTGTTCTAGAACCCCACACTTACTGCCTCCTCTAGGCTCCCAAGCCACACATAAGAACTATTATCTCCGCTTTATAGCTGAGGAAACAGAGGTTCAATACATCACAAGCTCACACTATAAAACCCGGGGGGGGGGAGGTGTCTTTCAATTCTGAGAGCATCAGGTCCCACAGGAAGTTACCTTTTAGAGTCTTGTCCAGGTCCCTTGAGGGACTTTTTGCATTATGCATCAGGGCTGTCAAGTAAAGCTTGGCCAAGGTCTCGGACTGAAAAATCTGAGGGTGATGCAACTCCCACTTGAAGCCTAGGCATTCAAGAGTCACGTCTGAGGAGAGAAAATGATGTTGAGACATAAGCAACATCACTACCCAGTGATGCAGAGACTCCTCCCCGTGGTTCTTTGTTCAACCACAGTTGCTCAGCTGATGAAGAAGACAAGTGGTCTCCCTAGGTGGAAGGCTCCAGTGTCCTACAGAACAAGTGTCTCAGAAAGCAAAAGGCTACAGGGAAAGGGGCAGTGCTCTGCAGTGTGGGGCCAAGGAGCTTTCTGGTGTGGAGAGGATTATGTGAGCAGTCTTACAGAGAAGGTGATCAGTACCTCAGAGGGCTGTTGACAAAGTTGTACGATATCAGAGGCACATGGACTGGTCTCTTGGGGGCTTGGAATGGCTCAGAAGGACCTTTCGGGGAACCTCTTGTGTGGACTCTCTTAAGGGCCCTTATCTTGTCTTGCCTATTACAGTGATTCTCAACCTCAGTATATTTGATAGTTGTCTGCAGTAGGGACTGTCCTGGACATCATGGTTGTGGGGGGCGGGGTTTAACAGCATCCATGGCCTCCACCTGTGGGATGGGCAATAGTATGCCCTTCCCCAGCTGTGACAACCAACAATGTCCCAGACATTATCAAATGTCTCCTAGGAGCAAAATCATTCTGGATTCTTTGTTAAAAAATGCTGGGCCACTTGTACCCCCTATTGCCAGTCTGAAAGGCAGTAGCATTGTGCAACACAGCAAAAGGCCCACCAGAGAGGGCAGGGGTCTCTGATCTTCACTTCCATCTCAGGAACAGAGCCACCAGAAGGCCTATCACTTCATCAGGAAGTCTGAAGTGAGACGGCACTGTAAAGAAAGCCTCTTACAAATTGTAGAAGGGCTTTATGTGGGGTCGGCTGACCTGTGTCTGCCATTGATGAAGAGAAGACCTTGACAGGAAAGCAGGTGGACAATCCAAGGATGCCAAGCCGAGGAGAAGTATGAGAGGTGTGGGTGAGAGGGCTTGGCATGGCTCGACTCCTATGTAAGCACAGAGCACAAGGAAGGGCTGGCAAAGGGACACTGGCCCCAAACCAGACCCAGAGGGCCACTAGCCCCATCTAGCTATTTCTTGGCTATTAGTTTGACTGTGTGACCTGGGGCACCTGTTCCTTCTTCCTGATATTATGATTGTCATTTATCACCTTAAGGTATTGTTTTGTGCTGGAGTTCAGAAACTGGATTCACATCTGAAAGTTTGGATCACCTCTGGTGGTCTGGTTATACTGAGTTAGAAAGAAAATCCCATAATGTGGGGTGATCATAGGTAGGATCAGAATTGCATATGCAGCATGCTCCCTCACTGGATATCAAGATGACCAATACATGGCATTCATCATTAATCAGTCCTAGTGCTCTTTCTCTCTACCAGGAGAAGGCCTCAAACTACTTTCCTAGGTCAGTAAGAGTTGGCAGGTGATAAGTTACTAGCCTTCCCACCCCACAACCAAAAAAAAAAGGAGGCTGACTTTGATCTCAGGCAACCATTCTGTGGACTTTAACCCCCTAAAGCTCCTTTAAGAAGCTGGCCTTGGATTGAAGGTGTAGCTCACTGGTACATGCCTAACATACATGAGGCTCCAGTCCTCAGTACCACAAAAAGATAGAAAAAAATCCATAGCTTATCTTCCTAGCTTCCTCTTCAGGCTCACTAGACCTTTTTCCTATTCTGACTCAGGATCCTTTCACAGAAAAGTCCTCTTGAACAACTGTTGACATGATGTTCGTCAAGACTGTTTAAAGTCAGAAAGGACAGAAAAGCCCAGCGGCACCGAGCCTGACAGTGCTCTATTCAGACTCTTTATCTGTTATCTAGACTACTTAGGATTGTCACAAGCACATTTGTCTTCACTGTGCCCATTGTCCTATGAAAATGTGTATACTGATCTTTGTTTAACTCATCAAACATTGAAAAATATTTACAAACACTTGCTTCCTGTTAGACACTGTGTGGTGGATGAGACTTGCAGGTCACAGAGCAGAGAGCCGACTGTCTCTGGCTTCCCTGCACAAGGACCACAGGATGCCCATGAAGTCGGCAATGTTCTGATTGAATCACCAGTGACAAGAACTCACCTGCTTCCCCACTCTGGGTGCCATCGTCCTTGAAATTCTCAGAGAAAAATTTATAGATTTTTGGAATGCATAACCTCAAAGAGAAACATAAAGAGAAAACCTAGGAGTTAATACCAACATCTTTTTTTCCCTTAATGTAACAGGTATCAGAGGCATGGGTGACAGGACTCCATGTGACCCAACTCCTATGTTGGCCCAGAGCTGGAGAAAGAGCTGATGCAAGGGAAAATTGCCCCAAACCTTAAATTTCAGAACCGGATAGGACCCAGAGGGCCACTTGGCCCCATCTAACTGTTTTTCAGCTTTGCCATTAATTGGCTGTGCGACCTGGGTAGCTGCTTCTTCCTCTTATTGTCCCATGCCAGGGACAAGAAGCTGGGCTCACAACTCATTCTAGTGTATACTTCACTAAAATATCCATGCCTATATCATCCATCCTACAGAAACCATCCCTACACCCATCCTATAGCATCCATCCCTACATCCATCCTACAGTATCCATCCCTACAATATTTGTCCCTACAACATCCATCCCACAGCATCCATCGCACAGCATCCATCCCACAGTATCCATCCCTACAGCATCTATCCCACAACATCCATCCTACAGCATCCATCCCTACAGCATCCACCCCTAAAACAGCACCGTATCACATTTCTCTCTCTCTCTCTCTGGGAGAGTTTCATTGGGTCACTGTTGGCATGGCTGCCACAAAACATTGGTTTTTATTCTGGTTTGTGGGCAGGTCTTACCAAAGAGGTTTTTGAGGCCCCTGTCTGCTGGAATGACACTTCCTTTACAAAGTCTCTAAAACAATGGTATACAGTAGGCAATCAATATATCTGCTGGAGGAAAAGATGGAGTATCCTTTTTTTCTAAGCCAGTAATTGTAGCCCTACGTTTTCAGTCTCAGTATGTCTAAAAATTAACTTCACAATCTACCCCAAACCCTACCCTGCTCCTCCACCCCAGTTCCTATTTCAGGAAATGGCACATCAGCCCCAAAGTGCCCAAATGACTAGATATTGTTTCCACACTTGCTTCCATCTGATGAAATACTCGTGAACACTGTCTTTGTTTTTATTGCTTGACCTTAGTCCAGGCTACCATCTTGCCTCCCTAGTCAGTCTCCAGCCCTCCTCTCCTGAGACTCAAACCTCACACACCACACAGAGGTAATCTTGCGTCTGCTTCTGGGAATCCACCACTGGGTTCTAAGTGCTACCAGAACAGCCCAAACTACTCCTTGGCAAAGCTACAAGCTCCTGCCTCACTGCAGCCTTATGCCTCTTGCTCTGGCTGAAACCCTTTCTGACCTCAACACAACTCCTGCTTCCACTCTCACGGGCTCTGCTCCTCTGCAGGAGGCTCCCCTGTTCCTCAAGGGGCTCCTCTTTATCTTTCAGGAGCAGCTTCATTGTTGTTTTCTCTGGAGTGCCTGGGCCAGCACCCCGACCCCTATGCACCCCCAAGACTATTCCAGTAAAACTTCTATAGTGTCTTCCGGTTGCCTGTCTACTCCTGCAGCCTCTACATCACAGACAGGGCATTTTTTTTCACTGCTGTGGCCCTGGAACAAGCCATTGTGCAAGTGCTCAGTCAACGTCCATTGAGTTCAGAAGTAGAAATGACAGCAGCGATAAGGTGCTTTTCCACAGACACTATGTACTCAGTGTGCAGAGAGAGGAAACAACCTAAAATGTGAGTCACATATTTAGTTTGAAGATGATGATCCCAAGAAAGCAAACCAGCCAAGAGACACTTGTTGACCACATCTGGTCATGTAACTCAGTGTCCACTTGGGCACGTTGTTTCCCAACCATGAGCCAGGTGCATGGAGGTGGCATGGGCCAAAGTCTGTGTCTGGAATAATAGTGACTGCATGCCGCCCTTTCCAGGACAGAGATGGCTGCCAATGACTCAGCCTCAGGAAGGCGCTGGGAGCCTGAGTTGTTTACCCAGCAGGAGCAATGGACCTGACTCAGCCATCCTCACACCCTCCCTCAGTCCCACTGGTGACTTGGGTGACATGTCTGAGGAGAGCTGGGCCGAGCTAAGAGTTCAGACTGACACCTCAAGTGGGAGCAATGAGTTTCGGAAAACACAGGGCAATGTCCATGAGCTCAACCCCCTCATAAACATCCCCATCAGCAGCTGAGCCAGGAGATGCTGGATGACAAAGTGGCTATGCCGCCTTTCCTGGGTACGATAGCCACAGGCCAAGATGCATTGTTTACTGCACAGGCTTTGCAGACCTCAGGGCACAGGCTTTTAGGACACTGACAGAGTTAATGACATAAATAGCATCTGTTTATTCTCTAGGACTAAAAATGACCCGTGATGCTGTGGTGGGTAGGATGGTGGTAATGAGGTCACAGGCTGGTACTTGCTCCCCAAGTTTTGGCCCATGATGGAGAAGGGAAAAGGGAATTCTAGAATTTTCTAATGGATATATGGGGCTCCAGCAGAAAGCCACACATAGGATATTTGGAGCATACAGGACGCCAATCTGACTAGCTGGGAAGAGTCACACAGACCTGGATGGAAGTTCTTCCATTTTCTGCCACATGACCTTGGAGCTGCCTCTTGGTCCTCTATAAAACAGAGCTGCCTGGGCAGAGCAGAAGGGTGAATGTCTGAGATGCCAACCTCTGAGCCTACACTTGGCAGATGTTTGCTCTTTTGTTTCCTTTATAACTAGGTTCCGTGGTCCCTAATTTCCTTCTCTCAGAAGTGTACTGGTATAAAAAGCAAGGAGTCCCATCTTGATACCCTCACCTCTTTACATGGTCTTCCAACCCTTGACACAGACTTGGTATTGCAGATAAAGTGAGAGGGACACATGAGGCAGGGTCACCAGGCAGGCAGCAGGGTGTGCTCTGGGATCATTTCCTAATGTGCCTAGAGCCTTGGTGGGAGGGACCCTTCCCTCAAATCCTGGCTGGGCAGCGCCTCCCCGTGCTGTCTCTTAAAGTAAGTGACAGTGTCCATTCACACATGCCAGATAGCCCTTGTGACTGTATGGCACATTTTTATTGAGTGTGTCTATTCTGACCTCTTTCTATGAATGATGTCATATAGGAAGAGAATGTACCCAATTTGCATCTAAAGAAGCTAAGTTTGTATGAGAGGAGTCAGCACTTCCTCATCTCTCAGCACCCCCATTCCCACTCTGCACTCTGGACAAGGCTGGCCAGCCATCCACAGAGCCCTGAACAGCATCTATATCTGAGCAATCTCAGAGGTCCCCACACCCTGGAATCCCACAGACACAGCAATCAATGCTGGATAGCCAGACAACACCCAGGACACTGACCTGTCTGAGGCACAACTGCAGACCTGAAATAAATCAAAGCTGGGAGCTAGCTGTCCCAACCATCTACCTGAGTGACCCTTGATGTGACTGGTAAACCACCACAGTTTGATCTGGCCCTTGTCAAAGTCAACAGCGACCCCATGTGGGAGAAGTTACAATTTCAGTACAGGAGACAGGACCAGGACTGTGTGGTGGGACAGAGATGAAGAGCTGTGTATGTTTTAGAGGACACAAATATACTACATGATACAATTCCAGCCCCCCCGCAACTGGCCTTCGAGCCTGACATATGGCCGTTTCCTGGTGTCTGAAGCTATACAGTTGTTACTGGGAATACATTCCTTATCTTAGTACATAAGTTATCTGTCAATGTAAAAGTAAACAGAAAAAATAAGCAGAACCTGTACAGTGTTATCCAAGAAGTTTCTCACAATTATAGGGATAAATTCCCACTGCAAAGATACAGAATTATGGGCTTGTGTTTATTAAAGAAAATCTGCTCCCATGCTGTGGTAGACTCTATTAAATTAATGAGCAATATCTAAATGCTTAGCCACTAAGTTTTTTCAAGAAATCATTTGGTCCCTGGATGATGAGTTTAGAATCCTGTGAGGGTCCCAAGTTCCTATGCAAAGGAAAACCTGCACTTTGTTACTACCCGCAGACCCTATTAGATGAAGAAGTCACTTTGGACACTGTCTGTGCCTGAGGTATGGTCCTTGAGGGAGATTTCCTTATAGATGTGCTTGTGATAGTCTCTCCATCCAGTCAGTGTGGTCCAGGCATCGGGTACCTTCCCTCTCAAGAGTGTGAGGTCCCTGCTGTGGATTTCAACTCTCCTTACTTGTCTGGGTTCTTCATAGCGTCATCAGGGTCTATATTCAAAACACTGCACATCTGGGAAAGTGCCAACAGGTCCCTGGAGAAACGCTGTTTTGGAAAACGCCACCGGTTGGTTGTGCCAACAACCCAGCGCTCCAGCCGAACTCTGTGCTGCTTGATAACCAAAGAGAGAAAGTCATTTAACCTTGCCTGAATGTTAGCTTTTCTAGATTGTTATGGCACAAAGAAAATCAAGGTAAACATTAAATTGCTGAATTTTCAGACACGGCTAGTATTTGTCATGGGGTGTCTACTCCAGGTAAAGATGCAGAGTTCTGTGGATCAAACAATGAAGTGCTTTGGAATTTAGGGTCTAGAAGAAGAGCTACTGGAGACAAGAGGCCAATTGTTCTTTGCAGGTAGCTAAGACTTCACCAGCCTATGATTATTCAAAGAGATGCTATGGGCAGGCAGTTTTCTCTTCGGCAAAATACACAAAACAATATTCACCATTTTGTTCATTTATGGCATATAGTTTAGTGGCATTTAATACATTTACAATCTTTTGCAAACACCATTTTTGTTTAGTTCCAGAACATCTTCATTACCCGCCAAAGGAACCCTGTATCCATTAGGCTCCCCAGCCCCCTCCCCTAGTAGGCACTAAGCTGCTTTCTGAGTCTATAGCTTTATCTGTTCTGGATATCCTAAGTGTAGAATCTCATAATGTGTGGCTCTTGTGCCTGGTCCCTTTCAGTTGGTATGTTTTCAAGGCTCATCTGGGTATGAGCACTTCCTTTTCATGCTGAATAATATTGCATTGTGTGGACGTACCACAATTTATCTTTTTGTCAGTTGATGGACATTTGAGTTGTTTCTACCTCTAGCTGTTATGAATGGTCCTGCTAGAAATAGTCATACAATTTCCTTAATGAAGGAGGAGAGCACTGAGGATGGATACAACCCTCAGACTGATGACTCGAACTAATGAGAAAAATTCACCATGAGGAGCCCAAGGGAATGGAAGTCATCACTCCCAAGCCATCTAGAGACTGAGAGAATAGTAGAAAGACCACGGGCTGTGGAGGATCTGAGTTCGGTTCTTGTGACTGTCACTTACTGGTTATACAACTTTGGGCAAGTTGCTTAACCTTTTAAGCCTCTCAGACACTGTAAAATGGGAATCAGGTAAAACGGGAACGGTGACAAGGATGGTAATGATGGTGGTTACAAATGCAATGATGATGGCAATAGAAATGGTGGTAAATGTGGTGGTGATGATGATGATGACAGTGATTATTATGGTGATAATGGTGATGGTACTAATAGTAGTGATGCCAGTGGTGATGGTGAAGGTGATGTGGTAATGCTGATGGTGGTGTTGATAGATATAGTGATGGTGATGATGGCAGTGATGTTGGTAGTGTTGGTGATGGTGACGATGGTGGTGGTGAGGTGATGGTGATGGTATGGTGATGATGGTGGTAGCGGCAACAGTGATAATAACGGAGGCAACGATGGTGACCATGGTGAT